TGATTACAAATATAGAAACCGTTTGTCTCTATCACCCACCGTTATTGAGTTATTTGGCATTGACCATTTATATATGTTTAATATTGTATCAAAGCAAACAACTCGCAGGCAAATTACAGTAGAGCATATATCGCTGAATAGAACTACTTAACATTAAATACACATAGTTTAAAATATAATACACTTGTAAAATACATAGGTATAACGTAAAGTTCCTTAAATTAAAAGTTAGTTTGGTTTGAATTTCTTAGCTGTAGACTTGCGTTTGTGCTGACAATTTGGCATGTTGCGCTGAAGCATCCAGCAATAGTCGGCTAACATTGCTGCACTCCATCGGCCTTGATAGCGTGACTCCATCACCGAGATGTCCTGATGGAAACGTTCACCATGTTCATCACTAACAGAAACTAGGTTTTCTGGAAAGAAGTCGAGATGTGAGTCGAGGAGATGAATCTTGAGGGACATGTTACAACCCATTAACTTGTACGCACTAATGCACTTCTGCACAATATTTACATAGTCAGGAGATTTATTATTTCCAAGGAAATTGGCTACAACAGACTTAAATGCCAACCATGCTTTTTTTTCAGTTCTGCTGAGTAAATCTTCGAAGTGACTGTCTGCTATAATCTTCCTTATTTGTGGACCTATGAATACACCTTCTTTCACTTTCGCATAACTCAACTCTGGAAACTTGTTGCATAGGTACCGAAAAGCATCTGAGTTTTTGTCTAATGCCTTCACGAAGTTTTTCATGAGCCCCAGCTTTATATGAAGTGGAGGCATAAGAACTTTTTCACGCTCAACCAATGGCACATGCAGGACGTTTTTACTACCTGGCTCCATTTTATCTCTAATGGGCCAATTCTTATTTATATAGTGGTGCTTCCTATCTCTGCTGTCCCACTCGCAGATAAAGCAGCAGTACTTGGTGTACCTTGTCTGCATTCCCATGAGAATAGTGATCACTTTTAAATCACCACACATATTCCAATTGTAATCGCGATAGCAAATTTTTTCAAGAAGTAGCGACATGGTTTCGTACGTCTCTTTTAGATGAGTAGAATAACCAACCGGTACTGATGCATACATGTTTCCATTGTGTAATAATACAGCCTTCAAACTTGCCTTGGAGGAATCAATAAATAGACGCCATGCTTCAGTCTTATGTTCTACACCGAGGCTTGACATAAGACCTTGGATGTCAGTGCAGTAGCACATATTGTCACTCATTGCAAAGAACTCCACGAGTTCTTTGTGTCTATGTCGAAATTGTGAAGTTCTTGTACCTGGTGATAGCAAATTAAACTCTTTCAGAGTGATACTTCACAGATGAACGAGTCTTGTATGAGAAACCTGTGACATTTGTCAAACAGAAATAACAGTCAGTAATGTGGTTGCTTGACTCACGCCATATCATAGGAATCCCAAATGCCAGATGGTTGTTATTTTTAGCATTCCTTATCCAACCCCGTAAGTTGTATGCACATGTCAAACAAATGAACTGTGGTGCCCATGACTTGCCGCTGTCAACCTTTGAATCAAAGTATAGTTCATAAGCTTTTCTCAGAAATGGTGTAAATGTCTTTCGGTGGCCTTTGTCTGTGAGATAGCCGCACACATAACAAAACAAGTCTGGTAAATTGATGCAGCCTCTAGACGCCATTGTTTTCACTGAAAAAAAATAGCAAATATATAGGAATAGTATAACTCATAATAAACACACAACTTATTAATAAACATACAGTTACAAATTAAGTACACTAAAGACCTATTTTCAGAACAGAATATATCAATTTAAAATATCAAAAGAATATGTTTAGTGTTGCCATCTGTTATTAACTTAGTAAACTAAACTCTATTTTCTTATTCATTCGTAACAATAAGGGATTAAAAAATGTATATTTATGTTAATATCTTAAAAACCTGACGTGATAGAGAAAAACGGTTTTCAGATTTGTAATCAGCATAAAAAAATGCTTTTAGAAAATGTAATCATCAAACAAGATATTTTTGGGTTGCTATTCAGTGTTATTTACGTTGAAACTTATTGTGCTGCATATTTCCAATCTCTTCCAGGACACCAATATTCAGCAATTAATCGCAAGAAATTGAGTTCCAATAATAAATGCATTGGAATGCAAAAATTTGCTAAAAAATTCTTAGTTTGGCAAGCAATTTGTGAATGCGGGGAAAGAAGTTCTTGTTTTGTGACTACGGGAACAATTAACATCTAAATATACATAAAAGAATGCCTCAAGAAACCTCTTTTGCCGTTTTTAAGAACACACACTGGTAACCCGTTATTTTGTTCCAATTTAGCATCATGTCACTATTCTGGGACAACTTAAACTGGCTTAGTATATTTTGTTGACATCAGAGTTATGTTGTAAGGAAGATTTTGTTGAAAAACACTGCAATCCACCAAATTGTCCCGAACTACGTCCTATTGAAAGATATTGGGCTCTTGTAAAAAGAAAACTAAGGTTCAATGTAAAAGAAGCCAAAAACATTAAAGACTTCAAAAATAAAAAGATTAGAACAAGACTCAGCAAAAGCTGATGTCGAGAGTAAACGCAGAGTACGTGCGTTTTCACGTACAAAACTTCACAAACTTGCTTAAGTAAAATTTAAGAATATTAATATATATTTTTTCAAAATGTATATAATATTTAATATCGAAATACAATAGTTAAATATCCTTTAAAATGTCCGTGCAGATTTTTTCTTGTACATATGTCTTATTATATAAATCTAGGGGCTTTTCTTGATTAAAAATCTCGCAAAATGACTTCAGTCTTGATTATTGTAATCTCTCCTACGCTAATATTGTTTGAAGTACGTCTAATGTATCCTTTAATATATATATACTAGCAGTAAGCAACCCGTAATACGCATTGTTAGTAAATGAAATTAAAAAAAAAAACCGCGTATAGAAAAGCCTAGAAACTACTTTAAAATAAAAAAGCCTAGAAAATGACGTAACTCGACTAATAATAATAATATTAAATTAGCGTATTCATATTATCAGAGTTTTTTTATCTTTCAACATGTCATTTATAGTAAAGGTAAAAACTCTGATGTCATTTACAGTAAAGGTAAAATACTAATATTATTTGGGCAAACATACACAAAACCAAATTAATAAGATTACAGAGCTTACAAAACCACGCATGTAAAGCAATTAACTATTTAAAGAGATTAGAAAACCCTTTCCCTGTAATAAAATACACGAGTGTTGTAAATATATCAAAACTTAATTCGCTTCAAGTAATAATATTTATGTATAAATATAGGAATAACGTGCTGAAGAGTATTTTCTGATACTTTTACATCAGCTTTTTCACAAAAGTAAAATCTATGGTCAAATACCAACCATAAATAACACTTAAGCAGAGTAAAATCACTAGTGTCGAAATTTTTAATTTTGAACAAAGGCCGTCATTATGGAATCAAATGAAAAATAACAGTAAAATTATAAAAGCAGTATAATATATAAATGTTAAAAAAACAGTATGATATATAAAAAAATTATACAATTTGTATAAGAGCAGCCGTGGCGCAGTGGTTAGAGTTCTGGCTCAGAACCCAGAGGTTCTGAGCCAGGACTCTAAAAAATTATTGTGATAGGAGTTTATACAGTTTCAGTCTTTTATAAATGGTACATTTAAGTCGTTCATAAATGTTTATTTTATATTTTAATGATGTTTTGCAAATAATTTAACTTAAATGTAAATTGTAGTTAGTGTCCTTTAAAGCACGAACTTGTAATAATAAATGAACTTTTCATTACAAAAAGAATTATTTTTTAGTATGAATTTTTATTGATTGTAATCAGTTCAGCCAATTGTGTGTATTTTGGTTAAAATGTAATAATTAAATCATTAAATCAAAAATAATTAAGATTCTCAAATAAGCTTAATATGGTGTAATTCAATTGTAATCTTTTCCTACTTAATAAATTTGTAATTAAACAAATAAACTTTTACTTAAGTACTTATTTAGCGATTGTTAAATAAATTAAAGATATGTAAATTCAAAAAAAAATTACATTACACAAAAACTAACAAATGTAAGTTTAAACACAAAAAAAGACGAAAGTCCGTCTACATTCATATGTTTAATTAAAAAAAAAAAAAAAACGTTAAGTAAACATCCGTGTTCGGAAAATTGTTAGCTGGGTATATTGACGACACAATATTAAATATGTTAAAGCCATTGTAACAATTCATACTTTGTATAACAAAAAAGAAAAGAAAATTAACATGGTAAACAAAATGGTAAAAAGTTTTTAATTTGTTAAAATATATGAAATGATAACTTTAAGGGAGACATTTTTAAAGAGGTTAGATTATTTATACTTTATATATATATATATATATATATATATATATATATATATATATATATATATATATATATATATATATATATATATATATATATATATATATATATATATATATATATATATATATATATATATATATATATATATACATATATATATATTTCCGATATTAATTTAAGAATGAATATGATGCAAATAAATGGAGTTCATACTCTCCTTAAACCTAAGTTTGGAAAGTAATATTTTCTTTACTTTTGTTGTTGTGATGGACATAGAGCTTCTTAAAAAACACATTTTTTTGTAGTAGCAACTTACAATACCCTTTCACCTATTCACCTGTAAAACAATGTATAAAATTATCCTGGTAAAAATTCTACTTTTAAAACTTAATACTTTAGAACATATTGTAAAATTTAACTTATTGTTTTATCTCAATATGATTCGTAAAACGTTACAATAAATAATATTTTATCTATTATACAATAAATAATATGAAACTATTATACAAAAATATCCAACATACAAAAAGAAAATTCTTTAATTTTTAATTTTATCTCGTTTTTCTAGCATTTTTTTTTTGTTCAATTTAAATAATGATTTAAAAAAGGTGAATAAATAATTTATTAAGTATGCATTTTGAAATACTTTTAAAATACTTTAGGTTACTACACGATTTTTAAAACAAAATACTTTAATGTTGTTGGAAATGCTGAAAAAAACTGAAAGGTATACTATAAGGTAAACAACGGTTTTATTTAATTAAATTTTGAAATTACGTTGCTTGAAATTATTTGTTTATAAATTAGTTTAAATCTTCCCTCTCATGAGTTTCTTATTTATTAAATTATTTGAATTCATCAGGGACTTTTATTTAATCGCAAGCAAAATTTATATGAACTAACTTTACGAGTAATACGAGTATAGTACGAGCATAATACGAGTATAGCTAGTAAAAATAAATTATGAAATAATTAAATAATAAAACGACTTTTTCATTTTTTCTCAGTAAAATATTTAAAGTACTGATAAATTTTATTTGAAGATAAATATTGCTAACTGACATACTTATTTAGTGTTAAATGGTCGATTTGAAATTAAGAAATAATGAATCAATATTACGAAAAAGAAATAGCCGATTCATTGCTACAGTCGTGTTTCCTTCCATCGTTACCAACTTCAATCACACTTGTTGATAAAAGTCACGATGAAGAAGACTTTAATGACAACAGAATTACTATGGATCATTTAGACAATTATGGTAACTTTAAATCTTTTATAATAATATTTTTTGAATTTAGATCTAAAAGTTATTTATTTATGAATCTCAAAATTATGTAATTAGTTATAGTTATAAGGATAAACGAGGCTTCATTATAAGGTTTGATAAACGAGGCTTCATTATTGAAAATATTTAGAAATGCCTCACAACGAAACCAAATGTACTTTTAAATATGCTGACGTAAACACAACTACTAATTTCAACCGAGACAAGTGGAATCGGAGAACTACATTTTTGATGATGTTAATGGGCTATACAATTGGTTTGGGAAATGTTTGGAGATTTCCATATCTTTGTCATAAAAATGGAGGAGGTATTTAAAAATCGTATTTAAACGACTGTTGCTTCTCGTTTTTATACATAATACCATTTAAAGCATTGTTTTTGTAATATAATTACTTTTTCTTAAACTATATTGAATTTTAAATATATTATTCTTAATAACTTTAAACATATCATTTCAGCTACGTTTCTTATTCCATATTTCTTCCTATTGTTTGTCGAAGGGTTACCACTATATTATATGGAACTTTGCATAGGTCAAAGATTACGCAGAGGTAGTGTTGCTGCGTGGCATCTAATATCGCCGTACCTTGATGGTCTAGGAATTGCTTCAATAATTATTTGTGTTTTTGTATGTTTATACTACAATGTTATTGTATCTTGGTGTTTGTTTTATTTTACGAGTTCATTTAAGGATCCACTTCCATGGTCGCAGTGTCCAACAGAAATAGTGCAACAAAGTAAGCTTTAAAAGATTTTTAATGCTTTAATCTTATTTTATTTTGAAGGGTATATTTTATTAAATAAAAGTTTCTTGTTATATATCGAAAACCTAAAAACAGCCAAAGAAAACCTAAAAACATCCAAAGTTATACCTATTTTTAAAACTGATTTAAAAGTATTAATGTCAAACTAAAGGCTAATTTCCCTCCTTTTTTCCATTGATAAAATTCTTAAAAGACCGCTTAAAAAAATTCTTCAATGAAAACTGTTTTTGAATTACAATTTAATTTTCGAACAAACTACTTTACATCACTTGTTTTACTAAGTCTAACAGAAAAAAATAAAGATTCTCTGGATGAAGGAATGTTTGGATGTGGCACTTTTATCGACCTTCAAAAGGCATTTGACACTGTAGATGTTGACATTCTACTTTATAAGCTATCCTACTATGTTATTAGAGGAGTTTCAAACTCTTGGTTCAAATCTTTCCACACTAATAGAACTCAATTAGTATCCATTAGTGGAGTGAGCTCAGACCTGAACGATATCAAAGTAGGTGTTCCTCAGGGATCTGTCCTTGGCCTTTTACTATTTCTTATTTATATAAATGACATGTCTAAAGCTTTAAAATTTTGTAGAGTTCAACACTATGCGGATAACACAAACCTTCTCTATTTTAATAAGTCTATAAAAAAAATCAATAAATATGTTTACTATGGTCTTAAAAAACTACGCAACTGGTTAAATGCTAACAAAATTTCCCTTAACTCTAAAAAAACTGATCTAATATTATTTAAAAGTTGTCACAAAAAGTTAGATCAACAGCTCAAAATTAAGTTAAATGGGAAAAAACTTTGTTGAAAAAAATTTGTAAACTGCTTGGGTAAAAGGCTAGACGAAAACTTAACCTGGACTTTACATTATAATGACTTATCTAATAAGTTGAATAGATCCCATGCCATTCTGTCAAAGCTAAGTCATTTTATATAACAAAAACCTCAAAAATCTATTTATTATGCTTTGTTTCACTCTCATGTAACATATTGCCTACTATCATGGAGTCAAAACTTAAGTATTGTAAATCGCCTATTTATTATGCAAAAAAAAGCAATCAGGATTATTAAATTTCTACCAAAAAATTCACATACATCCACATCTTTTGACGCACTACAAATTTTAAAATTACATGATATAATTAAAATTGAAAATTGTTTATTTATTCACAGCTGCCTAAACAAAAAGTTGCCTCCTAATATTTAATAAATGGCACTCTACGCAGTTCAATCAGCTGTCAACTTACAAGAAAATCTTGCAGAGGTGCACTGAGTGTGCCAACATATAATAAAAAATTCTATGGTAAACATTTCTTTAAATACTCTGCCTTTATGGACTGGAATCAAATTAAATTAAAGTTATTGCCTTTTAACAACATTAAAAAACATGTCCTCAAAACCAAATTAAAATACTACTTGCTACATCAAGATAAATAGAAACAACAGTAGTATCACTGGTGATAAATTATATATCACCGTAAAAAATGTATAAGTTATTCATATGAATGTTAACTAATTTCAACCTTCTGTGAGTGTATTATTTATTTTTTTTTTATTTTTTATTGTTTTTTTTTTTTGTTTTGTTTATTCGTGGTCGCTCTCCTCAATTTAGTCTAGCTATATGAGAGTGAACCATCCAGAATTTCTAACAATTATGTTGATTATACTTATATTTTATATAAGAAATGTGCCAACTTTTTTTTTTTAGAAAATATGACAGTCTCGTTCACTTCAACAGAATGTCTAAAAGCAGGATCCATACTATACTTTTGGTATCGAACAACTTTAAATATTGCAGAAGGTATAGAAACAAGTAGCGAAACAAATTGGACTTTAGCATTATATTTACTTTTATCTTGGTTTATATGTTGGATTTGCATGATAAATGGAATTCATTCAGAAGGAAAAGTGCGTGCAACAGTAAAATTCATGACTACATATTTTCCTAAAGTGGTTATTTACTTAAATATAATTGGTACTAACAGGGTCGCATTTAATAAAAAAAACAAAAACATTTGCTAGAGTGGGTTGGTTCTAAACGGCAAAATAGATTTTGAGCACTAAAACTAAAAATAAATAATAATAAAACTTCATTATTCTAATAACAATATGACAGGCGTGATATTATAAAAAATGAAAATTACAATAAGATGATTTACAATTTAATTACAATAAGATTTTATGATTTATGATTGATATGATAAAACTATGATGAAATTACAATAAGATTTCTCTAAAAAAATTAATATAAGGTCAACATAATTACTATAAGGTATACATAAATTACTATAAGGTCTACATAAATTACTATAAAGTCAACCTTTCTAGCTTCAATAATTTTAAATAAAACTGTTTAAGTGAAAATTATAAACAAAAAAAAAAACATGATTGAAGTTTCATGATTTCCGTTAATTTTACGGTTGTAAAATAAAGTTAAAAGTAAATAGATGTTACTTTATAGCCCCTCATATATTAACGGAGCTTATGTTACTGATTCTAGTTTAATAGTTTATTTTTATTAAAACCACAAATTTGTTACTTTGTTTTCAGTGTTTTTTAAAAGTTTAACATTTGTTTGTGTTTGTTGTAGCATGATTTGCTAAATAATGCTATTTGATACTAAGATGCTATCTGAAGCTATCTGGTCATATGGATGATATATTGCTTTTAGATGTTTATAATCAAAGCCATATTATATAACATTTTTGCTAAATGATGCTTTCTTGCGCTATGGATGGTATATTGCTATAAGATGTTTATATTTGAACCTAATTATGTTTTTATTCCTATTTTGCTTTTTTAAAAGCAAAATAGGAATTTTTGTCGAAAATTTTAACTATTAAATGTTTTTTAATTTTATATTTTATAAATTTAAAATTTTCATATAGGTGGTTTACATTACAGCTACATTACCATTAGTTTTACTCGCTGCCATGTTTTTTCGGGGAGTCAATTTGAAAGGTTTTCAAGACGGTCTGGCGTTGTTATTTTTACCAGATGTAAGTTTATTATTTTATTTCTTTAAGTTTTAATGTTAATTTAATTCTCTTATTTTATCTTTACAAAATATTTAGTTTACTCGTTTAAAAGATCATAGAGTTTGGTTAGATGCTGCTTCTCAAGTTTTTTATTCACTTGGTATAGCTTATGGATCTCTTATAGCTTTTGCAAGTTACAACCCCTTAAAAAACGATACTACAAGAGACTCTTTAATGATGTGCGTAATCGATGCAAGCGTAAGCATATATTCAAGTATTGTTTTATTTTGCTTTTTGGGATATCGAGCTCATTATAAAATGGAAGAATGTTTAAGTAAACTTGGCACCACTTTACGTTTACAAACAAATATGTCTGAAGAGAAAACCAGCACCAACCGATACATTTTTGAAAACATTTCCAATGTTTTATGTAATAAATCGCATTTCTTGAATGAGGTACGGAACAATTTATTTTTTATTTTTAAACTTCAACCATTTTTTGTTTAATATTGTTTATAAAAAAAAGTTACCAGGAAAAACAGTAAATAGTCTAAAAACTGTGATAAGTACTGTCACTTTTTATAAGCGATCTCAGTCAACTGGACTTGCATTTATAGCTGTTACAGAAGTACTTAGTACGCTTCCTAATTCAAGAACGTGGTGCATTCTTTTTTTTCTGATGTTGGTCATGTTAGGAGTTGATACTCAATTTGGAATGTTGGAAGGTGTTGTTACCCCAATACTAGACTCCAAGCTTTTGTACAGAACTAAGCATCGAACAAAAATTATTACTGGTAAGAACAAAGTTTTATATGTATAACGTATGAATTATAACTTTTTAATTTTAATTTTAGAATAAGTGAAAATAATTTATTAGTTTAAACTCAATCATTTACAGATATATATAAAAAAAACAAGTAAAAATCAGTAACACAATGTTTTTAAAACATTGACTCTTTGTCGTGAGCATTGTTTGAAAAGTAGTTTAAGGTTTATAATTCTTAAAACTGCTTTTTAACCAGGTCTGGTATGTTTTGTTATGTTTGTGTTAAGTTTCTCAATGGTTCAAAATACTGGTAATTATTGGTTGCAGTTGTTTGAGAATTACTGCTCTGGTGTGCCTCTAATGACAGTTGCTTTATTGGAGTGCTTCGCTGTTTCTTATGTTTATGGAATAGAAAAGTAAGTCTTAAGTAGATGCTTTAATGTAACTTTTAATCAAGTTTATAATATTTCTCGTTTATGAATAAGGAACATATTTTGTAAGAAAATATATATTTTTTACTAATATTGGATACAAAATTTGACAAAATCGCGATTGTGTAAACTTATTTTGTAGATTTTCCAGTGATATTTTGTATATGACAAATAAAAAACCTCGTCAAATGTGGATTTTTTGCTGGAAATTTTTATCACCGTGTATAATCGTTATTGTGTTAGTGTTCAGTATTTATGACTATTCATGTAATGCAGCAACTTACCAGGTTTGGAACAAATTGCAGGTTTGTTTATAGCTTTTATAATTTATTTTACTCCTTTTTTAATTGTTAATGATACATTTAACGTATTTTTAGGGAAAAATTGAATCCGCTCTTCTTCCACCGTGGTCAATTTTCCTAAGTCTTATGTTATTGCTTTTTAGCATCATGTTTATTCCGTTAATTGCACTAATAAGATTCTTAGACTACAAACTACGAAAGAAAAAAGGATTTTGAAATCTAACTACCTTAAAAAATAAAAATTCTATAGTTTTTTTATAAAACGTAAAAATATATATTTAACTTTTTTAAATACCTTTTAACTTATAAATGGGTTGAGCTTTTCGGTAAAAACGGTAGATGCACGATAAGCATCGAAATGGTTATATATATAAAATATGATAACTTTAACTGTAACCTGCTCATTAATAGCTTTTTTGTTTTTTACTATTTTTGATATTATTTTAAATTGAAAGTTTAACTTTAATTACTGTAATACAGTGTATATTACAGACCAATTTACATCGTGCATTTACTGTTTTTACCGTAAAAGCTCAACCCAACTTATAAACATAAAAATAAACACATTTCAGAATCTATAATTTTGTTGCGCCAATAAATAAAATATCTCAAAACTTATTTTAATATCGGTGGAATGAACTTCAATAACAAATGTACATTCCAGGGGGGTTGAGTGTGTAGATTTGCTACAGATAGAATTATCTAAAAGTTGATTTTTTTTAATAACAAAAAACGTCGAGCTAATATGGGGTTCTATTAAAATAGGTGATAAATCTATTTTGTGTAGGTGTATATATAAAAACCGGAAACAATGATCTTGAAAATTGTAGGCTTTTGACCGATTCTATCAAAAGAAGTTATAAATATTTTACTAAAAACAGTAATTAAAACGATGTTTTGAGTTGCGGTGATTTTAATTCCAACCAAATAGTACTTTAATACTCGATGAGTATCAAATCGTTGGTATGTAACCGAAAGAGTCATTATTTGAACCGTTTAGAAGTCAATGCGGTTTTGTCCATAAAATAAGTTTTTGTTTTTTATTCATAAAGGCTTCTGAAATTCATAATGGCATAATAAAAACAATCAGAAGCCATAAAAAATAAGTACTTTTTGATATTGAAAAACAAAACCAACGACAAAATTCTTTAAAAACCAGAAGATATTATTTTTTATTCTATTAACAATTACCAATATTAGAAAAATTTTAAAAATTGGACTTAATTACATTGATTTCTGAACGGCTTTTTTATCAATAGCATTCAGAAATCTCACTTAACGCAACGTGGTTCGAAGCCAAATTTTTTTGTAACGCCTAAAGAGCACATTATGTTCTTTAATTTAACTTCATCAAGATGATCAACCGGAAATTGACTATTCAATTGAAACCATAAAGAAAATTATGAAATTTTTTTAGAGTTTTTAAATAACCAAAATTAAAGTGAGGAGTTCAAAAGATTAGACGCGAACCTGTGAAATTTGAAGTTTACTAATATTAACGAAAAAGTTTGCGATAAATCTATACCGAAATTCAAATCAAATAAAAACTTCAGAAACTATCAAAAATATTTATGAATGAATAAAAAACTTTAACACGAAATATGACTGAAGCATAAACTTTACAAGATATCCGATTTGGAAAATAAAGATCTAATTTAACGCCCAAAATACAAAAAAAAATTTAACGATACAAAACAAAAAAGTAAGAGTAAAAATTTTACACATAATTTTTTATATAAAAAATTAAAAATAAAAATAAAATGTAACTTTAGTAAATGTAACTTTGTACTTATCAAATAAACAGCTGATTCAGTCAACAGATGTAAGAAAACTTATCAATTGCCAGATTTTTGTTAAAAATTAAAAGTCTATTTATAAAGTACACTTTTCTCGGATCAAGCATACAATTGCGCACACATGGGTCAAAGCAAAATTAACACATGGGTTAAAAAGTCCCAGATCTAACCGCAATATAGACTTTAGCAAAGTATCCGTATGGTAATTCAATAGTACTAACTTTCAAAAGAATTGTCAAAATATTATGACGCTCCAGCCCTAAGTTTAGAAGTTACAGAAGATGAGCGTCAAAATAAAACTGTAATCCCTAAAAACATCTTGCAAACCCTAAAAATTGAAAAATGACGTTGTAAGAGATAGCTAACACTGTTATCAAACAATATTATTAGGCTTTATTAGGCACACAAATATTATGATATGAAAAAGCTTTCTCAAAGTTCGGTCCAGAACAAAAATCTAACGAATGTTGGTTTAAAGCTCTATTTGAACATATTTAAGCGGAATCTGCTTGAGATTTTGGGTCGATACATCAAAATGGACAAACGTTACCGATATATTTCCTTTAGAAATTTGAAAGCCGCTGAATGGAAAGCAGATAATGAAATTTTATTGAAGCAACATACGTTGCTTCATTACTTAGACCCGGAGATTGCTAGGTGACAGGTCACCTAACAATTTCAGGGTCTAAGTAATGACCATAGTAACGAATAAATGACCATAGTAATGAAGCAACATTCGTTGCTTCATAACTTAGATTCAAGACTTATTAACTCAAGCGCTATTAAAAAAACTGGATTTTTTACGCAAAATAAGATTAGAGGTTAGAGTTAAAATGGAACATTTTATTATGCAGAATTCGGTATTTATACTAGGGTTGTTAACCATAGGATTTCGTACAATTCCGGAAAAACAACATTCTTTCGTAAGGAGATTGAGAACGAGGAACTACATTTTTTTACAAAACATACATTACAATTACAAAACATTTATAATTGCCGATGTTCATTTCGCAAATGCTACTTCCGAAATTTAGCATTTCGCAAGTTGACATACGAAATGAAACTATTTTGCAACATACGAAAGTAGCGGTTTCGGAAGTCGCACTTTCGAAACAAACATTTTCGCCAAACGACGTTTTGAAGTCTATAAAAAAAATTTGTTTGCCAGACTGATTTTAATTGTAAAAATTAACATCTTTATATCCCAAAATGTTTATAATGAATTATTATTTTCAGTATAATAACATATTAAATTTTTATGGTTTTATTTTTAGAAATATTGATAAAAAATAAAATTTCTTTCGAAACGAAAGTATTTTGCATCATAATATACAAAAGAGTTCTTAACGGAAGTAAACTTACGAAGCGTGCTATAATAAATATATACATAATGATGTTTTTTAAACTCATTACGTAGAGTTAAAGTAAGATTGATGGGCAGGAATATACATGTTGCTTTTTTTTAAAGCATATAAATTTTTGAAACAGGTTCGAATATGCTTAAGCAAATAGTAAAAAAAGGCTCAAAAATATGCTTAAGCATATTTCCAGTAAAATATACCTATTTCAATAATTTCTAAAAGTGATCACGTTACTAAAGGTTAATGATACAGAATTTACAGGTGTAAGATAATAAAAAATACAGGTATAAGAAAAATCCGAGCCTATAAGCGTTATACTTATTAAAAAAAAAAAAACGAGTATATACAGTTGAATTCCGTTATCTTGGTCCCTGGATAAGTAGGACTTTGGGGCTATCCATAAATGATGTCAGTAAATATAAGGGGAGGGGGTACTGAAAAGTTTGACAATGGTGAGGGGGTGTTGAGATCAAAATGATGTCCATTTAAGAAAAAAAAAAATTCAAGTTCGAGCAGATATTAAATGTATTTTTATCTACAATGTGGTATAGAAATAGCATATTTGCTTTGTGGGGAATTCGATGTAAGTTTCCTAAAGGCATGATATAAATAAAAAATTCACCAACGTTTTACTATTGTATTACCATTTGACTGAAAATCTAACTGTTTACAAATATCAACAATTTGTATATAAATTTAACAATCATTATTCGATCCCAGCGGATTTTAAAATGTGCTTTAAAGCAAACACATAAAGTCATTTGTCATTATTCTCATGGGAAGACGACGAGTGATTAAATTTATATTATAGATATAGAATAAAATTTTCAATAGTTTGTTTACTATTTGAAGAGGTATCGACTGTTCTATAATATAATATGCTGAGATATAAATGTATAATTTAAGCAGAAAAAATTAATGGTGCTTACACATATCTTTAATGTTACTTTAGGGGGAGGAGGAGGAGGGGGCAAAATCTGACATCATATTTAAGGGGTTTGACAAAAAGGGGCGGGGGTTTTAAAAATTGAGAAAAACCACAGACAGCAATTATGGACATTCCCTTTTACTAGGTTAGAAAGTTTTTCAATTTTCCTTGAAAGTTCTATAAATACCAAGAGCTACGCTTAACTCGGACATTCCCTAAGTATTATCTGTTCATTGAGAGTCCAACGGGATTTTACTGTATATATATGTATATATATATATATATATATATATATATATATATATATATATATATATATATAAATTATATAATTTATAATTGCTCAGTTCTTTTAAGAACATTGAGCACTCTATTTTGTAGAATACATTTTTTTTTTAATTGTTTAAATATATATATATATATATATATATATATATATATATATATATATATATATTTGTATAAACATTTGAAAAATCATTTAACAACATTTTTTTATAATTTTATTATTTAAACTGTTAACAGTTAATATCTTAAATATATCGCAATATAAATAATCTTTTGCGTCTTTTTCGTAACTGCACATTCCGGAAGAATACTTTGTAAGTATTCTCGCGAAATAATTTGTTTCGCAAGGTTTCTTTCGCAATGCTCTATTACGCAATTTTATTTATTTATATTTTTGTATAGTGCGTTACGGAATGTGCATTTTTGCATGATCAACTTCCGCAATAACTATTCTATTACCATAGATAAAGATGCGAAATTTTCGCAAGTTTTGTTTTTCGGCGAACAACCCTAGTTTATACTCAATTAAATCAATAATGACGATGGCATTTTTTTTATTTTGTCATTAGCATTTAGTGTATTATGAAATTATTGGTCTCTCAAAAGTCACTCTACAGTATTTTAAATTATTTTGAAAAAAATAACATAATCAAATTGAATTAAAAAAGTTCGCGAAATTTCTTTAAGTAAGAACTTGCCTACACATGCTCCAAAATCCTCCTACTTATAATGGCCCCTACTCCTTTCAAATAAATATTTGATTACAAATAATTTTATTTTCGTTTGGAATTTTTTCAATTTTTTACATATGACACTAATAAAAAATAATATCAATAAAAACAACAAAAATATATATCATTATATCATAAAGCATACTTTATTGAAATATTTTAGAATCATATTTCATTACTATTTTACAAAATCTCGTATTTCGGTAAAATTTACATTTCTGACAACAGTTGTGTAACTTTAACAAGAAGCCGATTACTTTATTTAAAGATTTGCATAAATGTTAAATGTGAACATTCTACGCAAAACAGTTGGTAAAGATCTAACTGGTTTTATCAACTAAATCAGAAGCTTTTGCTAGTCGAGCTGGAAAAAAAAACACACACACAAAAAATATATACATTTTTGTGTAAACATGCAAGAAAACACAAATTAACTACAAGTTTAATTAAAACTGCAAAAGAACACAGAAATTAATTTTTTTTTTGGCTAAAAAAAAGTTTTTTAATGGAAAATATAAAAAAATCTTTAATTTTAGCTCGAAATAAAAAAGATAACCCATTATATAAATATATACAATGAAAAGGAGTACAGAAAGTATTTTAACTTTTTAATAGTAGGGTGCGTCGATTTTTAAGATGAATTTTTTTTTATTAAATTTTAAAAAAATAGCAAAAAAATATAAATTTGTCATTTTTTAAAAAGTGATTTTTTAAAAAAATTATATTATTTAAGTGCTTTTTTGGTTAGTTTTGATCTTATTTCGGTTATTAACATTAATGCGTAGTTATTCATTTTTTTTTTTTGAAAAATAAAAATACTTCTTATTCGGACCAAAAAGAAATTTCCGGTAAACATTTTGTTTATCAAAAAGACTAAGGAATGCATTATCTATTAAAAATAGTAATTTTGTAGAAAATGGAAAAGAATTAATATATTTGAGCTTCAAACAGCTAGAGATATGCTAAGATGTGGTATATTTTCAAGAGAAAGGCTAAGATATATTAAAAAAAAATGATTGAGAAAAATTAGGAACTATAATGTAGCTAATAACTGATGTTACTAGCTTTACTTGGTCAACAATAGTGTAGATCAGCTAATAACTGATGTTATTGCTTTACTTGGTCAACAATAGTGTAGTTCAGCTAATAACTGATACTACCGTTTTGCTTGGCCAATAGTTAAAAACAAATTTATAACAAATTTATTAACACTTTATAAATACCTTGTTGTTATTTATGAATAAAAAATTTTTTTAAAAAATATTACGATATTTTATATTCTTGACATGCTTCGTCATATAATTAACACCTGTTCCATAAAATTTGAGACTAACTTGAATTAGCGATATTTAATTACTAAGCTTGATAAAATAATTAGTATTTGGTATCAAATGAAAACTCTATCTTTTCTTTTTGAATTAGCATATAAATCTGATTATTTTTTCTTTAGATAACAATTTAAAATGCCAAATCAACAAGCACTAAAAAGTCATGTGTACAATTTTTATAAAAAAAAACATGAAGATGAAAAACACATTGTTTGGAACCATTTCAAGATGGAGGCTACTCAAAAGCTACAATTTATAGATATATGAACAGTTACGATCAAAATTAACCATTGGGTCGCAAACCTGGAAGTGGAATTTCCCATCGAGGGGTCACATCTATTTACAATGTTCCTTCTGGCCAAGCGGTAAACCAAGAGATCTATTTAAAAGAGTGTTTATGTGCACTTGCAACCTTTTATTAATAAATATTATCGAGACACCAAGTATATCTTTTTACCCGATTTAGCAACATCTCACTATGCTAATTCGGTAACAAAATGATTAAAAACCCAGAAGATACTTTTCAAAAAAAAAAAAGACAATCCAGCAAACTTACCAGAAGCTCGTGCTATAGAGGATTTTTGGGCAAGCGGGATGTGTACAAGAATGGATGGTCTACAAATAATTTATCAAACCTTGAGCGTCGGATTCGTTATTGTGCCAGTAGACTTGACCTAAATGCTGTACAAAACTGGTACAAGTTACCAGTACCAGACTTGATCAAGTTCGAAGATATGGAGTCTTTATAAATTTATTTTGATTTTCCTATTCTGCATATTTAATTCTAAGAACATACCAAAAAAAAATTTTTTATCGTCTTTATTTAAGTTTTTATTCAAGTTTAAAGCCGGTCTTAAATTTTATGGCACACATGTTATGTTTCATTAGAGCAGTATTCAAAATCTCAAACGAATTACAATTAGACAGTTTTTTACAAGTAATTGATGCATTTAAATGTTTATATAGATTTGAAAACATAAATTAAAGCGTTCCACATTAAATGGGGAAACTTCCAATTATATATTTAACATATTTATTTACTTAAAATGACAGCTTACTTTATTATTATTATATTGATTAGTTATTTTAATAATTGTTTTTATTGTTGTATTATATATAAATATAAATATAAATATAAATATAAATATAAATATATATATATATATATATATATATATATATATATATATATATATATATATATATATATATATATATATATATATATATATATAAATCGAATAGAACAATTAGATTTTCTGCACGAAAATGAATCTTTATCTCTTTTATTGCCACATAAGGAACGAGTAAATTAAAAACAATTAGTTCTACCAAAAACATTTTAAAGTAATTATGATTATTAATTTGGATTAAGAACTTGTATATAGTATTTTCATGGAAAATATTGATTTGAGTAGATGCGGTTTTAAGTAAATTCTGAAATAATGTAATTGAGAAGGACACACGAAAGAGTTGTACAGATTAGAAACTTATTTTATTTTTAGGAATATGTACATCATGAAACACAAACAACTTATGTAAACAACTTCAACATTTAAAACTAGTAGGCAGAATATAATCCAAGTTAATCATCAAACTCAGTGTTAGCCTTCTCTGAATCAAACATGTTCAATTTATAATTCAATTTATACAATGTATATTGAAAAAATTTGGCTAGAATAAGCAAACAAGCTTAAAAGAAACTGCTAAAACAGTTACTTTGATAGAAGTAAAGCTTATAAGGGAGATCATTGGATGGAATCACTTCCATCCAACCATCCTTTTATAGATCATAATGAGGTCAAAAGGGCCCAACAAAAATTAGCAAATGAATTAGACAATCAGTTTGAGGTAGGCCTAGAAATAAACTCGTTTATTTTTTTAGGTCACAAAAATGTTTATAGAGGTGATAGAGTGAAATATCTGAATAATATATTCAACTAATCGTAAAATTATTGTTACTCACTGCTCTTTTTGATATTTGAAAAATCAAAACACCCGACTTTAATAGACAAGATAAAAAGAAAAAGTAACAAGTTACATTTACTGTGCTGTAAAAAAAAGTTCATTAGTTATGGTGAAAAAGGAAAAAAAAAAAATGTTTTCCAACAGACTTTTAAAAAAACTAAAACATTACAAAAAACTTACAAGGCAAATCGCGTCGAAGACGAGGTCGGACACCTAAAAATTTTTTTAATTAAAAACTTTATACATTAATGAAAACCTTATAAATTCCCAATAGTATTAAATAATCATATATTTTGATTAAATTCAAGAATTAATATTTTAACAAATTTAAAAAATCACCTCTTTGCAAACGAACAGGTTTAGTTTTTTCATCTAAATTAATATTTTAAACACGAAGTTTATAATTGAGAAGTAGTAAAACAAGAAACTTTATTAATATAAAACAAAAAATTTGCATAATAATAGTACACCAAACAATTTAGATAATGATAAGGAAGTAATGGAACAGAATGAGTTTTTTAATGCACGTTTGTAAGAAAATTGGGCAAAATAATATCAAAAGCTAAATAAAATAATCAAAAATTTATTGCATAAATAAATACTATCAAAATTTAAAAAATTTTAATAACATCGACATTAAGGCCATTTTTTGCTAGAGAGGCATGAAATGTCATGCATTGAAAAAAAAAAAAAAAAAAAATTAAGTACTAAAAAAAAAACAATGACAATTATTTACAATATATGACTACATGACGCAATGTTTTTTCTCGGAAGGACATAAATGTGAACAAATCTTTTAAAAAATTTAAACAAACAAGTACATAATAAAACGAACAACGTATGGTTAATAATTGCTGTTGTAGGTATTTGCAATAACAATAAACGTTATCCAGAGCGTTATAAAATACATAGTAACGTTATGATTCCACAAATTACCTGTTCATGAAAAAGCAAAGAAATTATGGATTCATGCTGTTTTTAAAGGATGAAAACACTTTGTTGTACCAAAACATTTAAGTCTGCTTTAATCATTTTGTTGATAATCTTCCACTTATGAAATTCCTAATCCGACACTTTTTTCGACATGTACCATGAATGTTTATTCTACTCCTGAAAAAAAAAATCAAGGCCTCCTCCAAAAGTCAGAGCAAGATCTCTTGTAAAACCAATTTCTTCAAAAGTTCTAAAATTCTCTAACTCAGATATACTTACAGCTAAAGAACTACCAGATATTACGATTATTTCTTTGGATGATGAAGTGGTAAAAAACTTATCTTATATGAAATAAGTCAACAAGATAAATGGTGATACGGCTACAGCAGAATTATTAAACCACATTTCTAACTCACCCAAAGAAAAAGACACCAAGCCGAATTTTGTTTGAGATTAAAGCAAGTAGTGATAAAAATGATGCAGAGTCTACTCCATTAACAACGTATACTGCTTTACAATCACAAGATTATGATATTGTTGAATTATATCAATGTTATTTCCTTTGAGAAAAAAAATCTTACTGAAGCAGGAATTTCTATTAGTTATGATGAGACTATGGGTCTTTTGATTGTATATCAGCTGGAAGAAATAAGTAGTTGCTTTTTGTTGAAACCATGTTGTTTACTTTTTAATTAAATTTTTTAAGTTTTTAAATTTAATTAAAAACTTTAGTAATATTATAACTAATAGTACATAATATAACTCACTTATAATATAAGGTTGTTTTACTAGTATAGTATAAGAGTATCCTCAGAAATCATCAAGTTGTAATGTGAAAGATAAACAATTCATCTCATTTTAAATAACTTTTTGAATACAAGTGGTTATTCCGATCTAAATCATAAAATTTTAGTTTATCCAATTTTTTTTTTGGTATATTTTAGCAATTTTAGAATTCGAAAATATATGCTTATTTTTAGAATAATCACTATCAGCTGCAGCAAGTGCATAGTTTGAATCAACAATGTCTAAACAATGAACAATGTCAGCCATAACTACTTGCTCTTCAGCGCTTAATACTATGCTTTTTGTAAACAGCTTTAGAGCTCAACCATCACAACTTGTCACAAATTTAGACTGTGATATAGCTAACCTTATTATCTTATTTTCTTTGAATTTCTTTGACTTTAAATGAAGAGAAAATGAAGCTGGTTACATCAGCTGAAATGTTTATGGCCACAAAACAAAATCTACAAATCCTACGGTTAATAGATATTAATATTTTAGAAGCTTTTAGCCATAAATTGTCTTTATAGGTAAATAAGCTATTTTATAAGCATTAACATAATTAACATTGGTCTTTTCCATATTGAAAAATTTACATAAAGTAAATTTAAATAAATATAACTAAAAATAAATAAATAATAACAATAATAACTTGTACTCCTGCATAACAGAGTCTAACAAATCTAGATTTAACCTAAATAAAAGCTTTTTCTGCCTCATATTTTAAAAAATATTAAAAAACCACTTCTACAGAATCATAATTAGAGCTCTCAAATAGGATTATTTGAGAGCTCTAATGATGATTCTGTAGAACTGGTTTCATATGGGGAAGAAAAAGCTCTTTAGCTGTGGTGAAGCTAATATACCTATCATAATCAGGGGATCAGAGCAAAACTTTGATCCCCTGAAACCCCACCCACCCCCTTCCTCCAATAAAACTGCACTAAGGGTAGTAGGAGCTTGTAAACCTTGGATGGTAATCTTGATAATTGTAGTTTTATGTAGACATAAAAGCTTTTTTATGTAGACATAGACAGCTTTTATGTAGACATAAAAGTCTGTAAAACAAACTACACTAGAAAGAATATCCGTTTATTAAAAATTGCTTTGATTCTTGAATAATTTAATTTAATTTCACTGAAATCCATCCAACCATCACAAATGTGAAAACATAGTTGTTAAACTTTAAAAATAAATTCTTCTTTTATAATTCTTTCACAGTTCATACTTATTTAAATATTCATGTTTAACACAACACATAAAATAAAATAAACACAAGAAATTTATAACATTTACATGTTTTAACAACCTAGTTAAACCTAATATAAAATTTGTTTAACTGAAAAACTTACAACTTTAAATATTTATTTAAACTTTTTTATCTTAATTGCAACCTAAATTTATAAAACACATGCTTTTATAAATAAAAACTATCAGACTAAAAAAATAGGCTATTACTTTAAAAACTGGCTAAATAACAGGAAAACAGGCTCTTTAGGAACTCTGCTATATTAATCTAATAGCATACATGTTTTAGAAAAAGGAATTAAATGTAATGACTGATAAGGAAGAACTCAAAATAATGATTGATTTCATATAAACATGTAATACATATAAAAACAAAGTAGACATGGAGCACATGTAACAAAACCAGTCATGATGTGCTAATAATTCAAAATCATCTTTTTTTAAATTTTGACAAGTGGAACCAAGAACAAGATATTTCACACTAAATATTGCTATATTGGTTAAATTTATTAGCACTGATTTCTAGCTCTTAATGTATCACATTTTCCAAATGTTATAGGCTCTATAGTAATAATCCTGGAAAATGTCCCAGAGCTCTGATAAATTTTTGACTGCTTCAACATATAAGTCCTTATGTTTCCAAACAATAAAATATGCTGACTTAAAATTTGTGATTATTTTATTGTAAAAAAACCATAATAACTAGCTCCTTCTTTAATTATCTTATTGGAATATGTGATTCCAAGATAGTTATGTGAAAAATTATAAAAAGACATTTAACTTCCAAACACACCCTTCCATGGCATTTGCATACTATAAATCTATCTAGGTAACATACAAGACATGATCTTTCATAAAATATAAAGAGATCACAATTTCTAACATTCAAATTAGTATGTTTTGATACATGATCTGAAATTTTTTTTATAGCATCTTGCTTGTGATCAATTCTCCATTTGATAGAAGCCATAACAATATTCTTTTTACGAGGGCATAAAACATCAGCAACAAGAGGAGTTGTTTTAGGCTTTACAAAGCTGGTATTTCTAGAAAGAGTGTTAACTTCAGTATATATATATTGTGATGTTTGGAAGCAGTTATCCTCACCTTTCTCATTTGAAACCAGGTATTGCATATAACTTAATCTCTTGTGTTATATTCTAATTATATTTTATTTGTTATGTTCTAATTGTGTTACATGTTTAATTGTTTTATCTTTTAATACCATTTTTTCTAAAAATATTTTATATATCAGCATTACATCAATAAGTATTTTAAAGGATAACTCCTCAAGGTCAGGAATACTTTCAATATACTTTTTTAATGTTTCAACTTGTGATTTGAATATTATGGCAGAAGGATTGAATAAATAATTATTGTATAAAAAAGTTACACATGAATGCTCATTAAAGTCAGGATATCTTTCAATTCTTAGATCAAATTCTTGCAATGCTTTTATTTGTGTTTTTTCCTTATTGTTTTATCTAACTTTTTTCTGGTCATCTAAATAAATTAATTTTTTTTTAATAATAAAATTTAAATTTTAATGGTAATATTTCATAAAGTTTATGGTATATACAAATATGTGTGTGTGTGTATATATATATATATATATATATATATATATATATATATATATATATATATATATATATATATATATATATCATATAACACCTGCTGAAAAAAATTGCTCAGGGTTAGCAAAAACCAGCAGATTTCTTTGGGTAATTTAGGTTTGTTTAATAATATTGAAAATTAGTGTAATTTGCTACTTTAGCTTTATTTAAAAATATATATTTTATATAATGTTATTTAATAACTTATAACAACTTTTCAAATTATTTTCAAAAAGATTTAAAAAAAAATTAGAACAGTGTTAGAAAAAAGAAATTTCACATTAAACTTATATGTATTGATTTATTTTAGATTAAAAAAGAATATTTTATGTAATTGAAAATGCCAATAAGAAGTGGGAGAAAGAAGGCTGGGGAATAGGAGGAAGTAACTGAAGTTAAAAACAGTACAAAGGTTACTTGTGACTATGCTTTGCTTAGAAACATTATACAAGTAAAGCCTAATTTGAGTTTTTACACAAGCATACAGAAGGGGACAATCTGTCAAAATATTTTAATAAAAACGAAGATAATGTATTTTCAAATAATGATTTATATATAAACTTACTCTTATAGCTGGATTATCATTAGAGTGGGGTGATTTAACTTTTTTAAAAAAATACAACTATTCTCCCTGATTTTTTCATTAGTTATAAAAAAACTAAAAAAATGAGCAAATGTGGACAAGAATTACACCCTGTAACAATTTTTGACTAACATTAATTATAATTGATAGCCCAAATTTTAAATTTTTTAAACATTTTTTTCAAAAGTTTTAAAAAAAAAGTAAAAACATATTAGGCATTTTTATATTATTCATAAGTATTTTGACCAAAATAATATTTTTTTATTAAAAAAGTTAATTAAATGTTTTTAAACACATTTATATAAAATATAATAAAATCCATTCTTTATTCAAAGTTTCAATAGAAAGCATTTTTTTTACATGTTATTAATATTTAGTAAAGTAAAAATATTATTTTTAATTTAATATCTTTTAGCAATAATAATATAGCTATATTACATAATATTGTTGAAAATAATCAGTACCAAGCCAAGTGGGTTGACCCCCCTTCTCCCCTCTATATCATCTGTAATTAGCCACCTAAAATCCTGAAAAATCTTTTTATTAGGTACCCCCTCCTCCTTATTGGAGTGTGGAAAAGCCTTGCCACAAAACTAGTAATAATATTAATCAATTATGGTTTGTGTTGAAATTCCAAGTAGAGCATGAACTATATGCTTTATATTCAATTTTTTTTATTTAAAAAGTTTGACATTTGTTTTAAGTTGTTACTTTTTTTACTGGAAGTTATTTTATATATATATATATATATATATATATATATATATATATATATATATATATATATATATATATATATATATATATATATATAAAGTATTGGACAAAACATTTGCAACCAACATCGAACAATGCTAAAAAGTGTTCCTAATTTTACATGTCATAAAAACAAAACGAACTATACTACCACAGTAAACAGTTAAGGAGTCTGGAGTCATTGCATGCCATGACATAAGCAATCAGCTAACAGGTGACAGCACACAGGCAGAATTTCATTGACAAGTGCCATTTTGCAGCGGACAAAACAAGTGCAACTTTTTTGGTTTGTTTCATTTTCTCAAGTCTGGTCCATGTCAATGTCACGGAAAATTTAAATAATTAAAGTAAGTATCCAGAAGTATAAAATTACGTAAGTGGAATGTTACAAATTACATAAGTGGAATTATTACGTAGTTATTCCAATTATTATGTAATAATTCCACTTATTACATGATAATTCCACAAATTATGTAATAATTCCACAAATTACATAAGTGAAATGTCACGATTATGTAGGTGGAATGTCGCAAAAAAGTACTTGTGATAAATATCACGTGAAAAAATGGACCGTATCAAGACTATGTTCCAAATATTATTCTATGGGGAAGTTGGCAACAGATAACAAAGGTGCAAGACTGCATTCCACCACTTCTAGAGAGGATTCTATGATCGTCAGATCCGTCAAGAAGGATCCCTGGATATCATCAGTCGAGATACAAAAGCAATTAGAGCTGCCTGTATTGGACCAAAAAATCAGACAACGTGCTGTTGAAGCCGCATTGTTTTCTTGACACCCTGCAAAGAAACCGCTGATTTCACTAAAGAACCAGAAGAAAAGACTTCTGTTTGCTACATTTCATATTGACTGGAATGTGCAGAAATGGCGAACTGTCCTGTTCAGTGATGAATCGAAGTTCAACATCTGTGAAGCATGGAGGAGACAATGTAAGACATTTTTGTCTGGGGGTGTATATCTGCTAACGGTCTAGGTCCAATACATCGAATCGATGGAATAATGGACCATTTCATGTATAAAAATATCCTGAAAGATGTTATGTTACCTCATGCTGAATGGAATATACCAATAAAATTTTCAGCAATACAACGATCCGAAACACACTGCAAAAGTAGTCAAGCAGTTGTTTCAAGACAACCACCTATTGGTGATGGATTGGCCACTTTAATCTCCGGATGTCAACCCTATCGAGAACCTTTGGGAGATTGTCAACTGCAGAATTAATCGTGAAGGTGTTCGTAATAAGGATCAACTGTTTGAACAAATCCAAAAGGCCTGGGCAGTGTTTCCACAAAGTTTCATTGATCTCCTGATCGAATCTATGTCTCCAAGATGCAAGGCTGTAATTGACAACAAAGGATTCGCCACCAAATATTGATAGCAAAACACAGCTTGGTCAACATTTTGTGGAGTTGCACTTGTTTTGTCTAGAAGGAAATCAATTTTTTTAAATACTTTTGATTAATTTATTAATTTTCGTTTACAAATAATGACTTTTGTGATGAATAAAACTTGAAGAACGTTGTCTTTAAACAGTTACATAGTTATTTCTCTAAATTGAAAAAATGCAGCACTTTTATATAAAGAAATTAACTTAGCATTATTCAGTTGCACTTGTTTTGTCCGATACTGTATATGTATGTATATATATATATGTATGTATATATATATATATGTATGTATATATATATATATATATATATATATATATATATATATATATATATATATATAATTAATTTTTTAAATGTTACAAGTTAAAATCATATCACTATATTTATCAAAATATTTCTTATAATGTTTTCAATATAATAAAACTGTTATAACTATGAATGTTTTTGTTTACAATTCTTTGATAATATACTCTGATAATATTATACTAATACTTTGCTATTTATATTTCAGTTATCCTAAAACAGATTTTTCGTTCTTTGGATTCTAAGGTGCAACTGCTAACAGGACTAGCGTTATCATTATCACTTTCAAAGCAGATGTAATTGGTTCTCCCTTCTCTATTATTATTCTGAAAATTTTTTCCAATTTGGCCAAAAATTGCTGTTGCTCAATTATAATCCAATTTTGCTCATCTTAGTCTCATTTTTAAGTTTTTTTATAATAAATATAGAAATTAGGGAGAATAACTGAATTTCTAAAAAAAAGTTATTTTCACTCTGTATGTATGTATAGTTTTGTGTGTGTATATATATATATATATATATATATATATATGTATATATATATATATATATATATATATATATTTCATAATATATATTTATATTTATGTATATTTATGTATATTATGAAATTTATTATTCATTATTATTTATAATTAATATTTCATAATAAATACTTAATTCATTATCATCATGATTATCAGAATTGTCATAGTCCTTCTTCTCATAATTATTATATTCTTCCTCCTCATTATAACTATCAAAATACTTTTCCTTCTGATGCTTACCACCATCACAACCAGTGGTGGTGGTAAGCATAATGAGAAGGATTATATTATTGGAGAAATTTTTTTAACTTTATAATGATAATTTAAGTTAAAAACTAGAGCAAAAAAGATGCAAAAAATTATTGAAACTCACAGTCATGATAAACTGAATATTGTCATTACAGTTACATTATTGGTAAGCATACTTAATATTATAAATACTACACAATAAATATTATACAATAAATATTAGCCTGAATATATTGTAATAAATATATTACAATAAATATTGGCCTGAAAAGGATATCCATCAGTAAGGTAATAATTAACATGAATTAATAATATTATATATATTAAAAAAAAATTATGTTTAAATGTTTGTTAAAATTCAAAATAAAATATAAAAACCTTCAGTTTTTTTAAGTTGTTCATCTTTTCCAGTGGTTTCTATGATCAAGTAAAAACAATTGTAAATGAATCACTTGCAACAATATTACTTTGCTAAGTAAATATTACTTTGTTATAATTATAATAATATTTACTAATATATAAAAAAAATCATTATTTTTAAACAAAAAGACTTGCATAAAATAAAAATATTAGACTAAGGTATAAAATATAAAAAGAGGTTTATATCATCTCAGTGTCATACATCTCTTTTCTTAAAACATTTTCAAGTAAAAAAATTATTCTTCTTACCTCAAGAAACTTATCCTTCTTACCATAAAAAACTTATCCTTTTTGCCATAAAAAAAAAATTATCTTTCTTATCGTAAATCAACTTCACATATTTAATTAAAATATCTTTACCTAGCTCAGCTACCACAGGTTCAGTTGCATCACGAGAAATATCATCATCGGATTCCGTTCTAATAGCATCAACCAAAGCGCTTTCACTTTCTTCATTTGGTTTTGTAATTTCTTCTAGAACATTACTTCCGCATTCACTGTAACAAAAAAATAAACTAAAAAATATTAATTTTAATGTCGTTTTCTTTAGATATATTCTACAGATAACTTTTAATGTTTTGTTGTTGTAAACCCTTTGGCTCTTAGCTTACTTAAAGACTGTTTTATGATGTATCATTACATTATACATTCATATTACTGTTACGTTGTTGATACACTGTTTCATATTAAATTTCATTTTACATTATGACAATTACTTTGATTGTTCAAAGAAAATATTGACAAATATGATATTACATTTTTATTATACAATTTACAATTTTATTTTATGTATATAACAATACCCAGTATAGTGAAAATAATTGCATCCAAATAAAAAACAAAAAATCCAGAATTAATTAAGTTTTTTTACTCCAACATAATTATTATCTATACTTTAGTATTTTATGTGTTCTCCCAATGCTGCTACGGCATTTGGCACATGATTTGGCATGGAACCTCGTGAAGTCTCGCACATACTTTGGATTTTCATGGTTTGGTTTTAGCAATGCAATTATATTTACAGTTTTGTTTTTTTACAATTCCCCAGAGAGTTTTAATTAGATTGAGATTTGCAGGGTTGTTAGACAATTTAAGTGTTCTATTTTAGTGCTAATTTTCTTGATTTTTTCGGAGTGTATATTGTTTGTATGGGGTTTTTGTAAGGGGTGCATGTCGCATAATTCTGCTGGAATGTTTCCTTGCCATATAAAAACACTTTTAACATGTCTTAAACTGTAAAACCTAATGTAAGAGTTTATCAGCAGGGAAACATTCTTTTTGAGCTTAACATGATGTTTAATGTTTTCTGTCACATTTTACATGTTTTAAAAAATAAAATAAAATTATCAGACAAAGTATTTTATCAGCCATTTATTTAAGCCTATTTATGTTATCATGCAGTAATTAGTTATTTAAGTAATAATTTCTTTAGTTAAATTTTTGTAATATAACATAAATGTAATGCTTCCTAATCTAACTGTAGATTGGTTAACATAAAATGGCTTTTTACCATTTAGCTTCATCAGAATATTAAAGCAAAAAGTAATACTAATATCTTATTCTTAGAGTAATGTCCTAATTTCCTGTAAATATTTGTTTATTGACTTTCTTTTATTTATCCTCGTAATAATAGTTAACCCATAAATATTTGTTTATTGACTTTATTTTATTTATCCTGGTAATTATAGTTAACCCATAAAAAACTTTGAATAAAATAAGAGTAGGAAAACAAACAAAAAAAACAAACATTTTGTACACTTAATTTTCATGACACTAAATTATACGCTCTTTGCATTTTTAAATTATTGTAAAAACAAAAAACACATTTATTATATATAACAAGGAAAAATTTCAAATGAAAAATTAAAAATATACTATAATTTTATTGAATTTTTATCATATTCATGAATTAAGTTAATTTTTGTTATAAAGTTTAAACCTTTTAGGAACTTCATCATTATTTATATCTTCATAAGTTTCTTTTACTTGTCTTTTATCTTCATTTTTATAATTACTAACATCTTCATCGTAAACATTAATTTCTCCATCATCATCACCAGCATCATAATAATCTTCACTATTTTCATCCTGATCAAAGTCACCTTTCAAATAATTCATACAAAAAAAAGTTTAAAATATTTTTGTACAACAAGCATACTGCTATAAGAGTTAAACTGACATCTTTCAGCATTTTTTTTAGTTTTTATCTTAATGAAATTTTTAAAATCTTTTAATACAATTACAAAAAACAGTTCAGAAATAATTTTATCAATTTATAATCGTATTTTTGAAATTCAAATAGACAAATTTTTTTGATTGAGTGATTGAGTACCCTCAAATTTACCTGTATCTATAAAAGAAAAAAAAAGAGAATTTTTTCATAAAACTTTAAAGCAAGATTAACACTTGTTTTAAAGCTATATATGTCACAAAATTATATTAAAAAAGTATTTAAAAATAAAGAATTATCTTCAAACACAAATAATAAAAAATAAAAAAAATTAGAGTAAATGTCAAAATTAAAATAAAAATAAAAACTAAAAAAAAGCCCACTACAAATTATAATTTATGAATCATGAAGGGATTTTATTATGAACCATAAAGAGTAGAATAATGCTTGAAAAAGAGATTTTTTTTAATGACTTGAACTAAGTTACACATTATTAAACAAAAAAAAAAAAAAAAAAAAAAAAATCTTAAGCAAACAATTTTGTATATTATTTTTTATTACATTTGTTTCTGTTTTTCAGTAAAAAATAACTAAGGAAAATAAAATATTGTGGTATGGAAATCAATATAATGAAAAAAAAACTAGACATCTGCACAAATAGATTAAATATCTCCGGCAAAAAAAGAAGAACAAAAAAAACAAACAAAGAACAAACTGAGGAAAGAATGGGGAAAAGAGTCAGAGAGAGATATTTAGAAAAAGGTATCTTTGATATCTTTTTCTGAATAAGTTATTCAGAATAATGTTGAGAACAAAGTATATAAAGAAATTAATTTAAATCAAAAAACATCACCTGAGATTTTTAAGGGTGCAAATAAAGTATCATCAAATGGCAGTGGAAATAATGACAAAGAAAAATCTTTGATTAATACTATTAAAAATAATAATGAGATCTTCAACACATTATTCTATTTAACTTAATCAAAAGAGTATTGATGTAGACACATGAAAGTTTATTTATTTTCTTAGTACAAAAAAATCGGAGTAAAGCAAAAATTTTTTTTGCTTTACTCCACCCCTCCTCTCTCTCTCTCTTTTATAGCTCGCGCCAATGTGCGGTAATGGGGGGAGGGGCTTGCGTTAGTATAACTGTCTCTTTAGCACATAATTGTTATCTTTTAACATACTATCTCTCATATTTAAATGTTATCTTATGATTTTCTTGTTTGGCAGAGTTTAAAATCGCGTAAGTTACTGTTATAATTTACAGCTTAATTTATAATTTAAAGTTTAAGTTGCAGTTACAGTGTAATGAGCAAGTAACATATTTAATACTATTAATTAAGTAATTGTTTTTACTTAACATGATACTTAAAAAAGTAAAAGTAAAAAAGAGTAAAAAGCCTTCAGTGACGGATCCAGGTAGAGGATGGGGGTATGCATCCCTCCCCTCCCCCACCAGAATCTAAAAGTCTTGAAAATGCGGTAGTGGTGTAGTGGTAGAGCGCTCGCTTCATAAACGAGTGGTTCCGAGTTCGATTCCCACCACGTCCCTGGTAGTACCGCGCTCAACTTGTTTCTTCGCGCAGCGGCCTTGTTCGTCAAGGTTTGTGTTTCGGAGTTATAGAGTTGAGAGAGGTTTATAACCACAAATAAGTAGCCTCCTCGTCTGTAGTGGCCTTCTCGGCCTTGAGGAGATGAATTAAAAAAAAAAAAAAAAAAAAAAAAAAAAAAAAAAAAAATATCATAGAAGTTGAGGACCCTGTTTTTTGCTTTTTTTTTAGAAGATGCAAACATGGTACAAAATTCAAAAATATTTCAACATCCTCCACCAAAAATTCCTGGATCCGTCGCTGCATTAATTAAACCACTTTAATTAGTCATATTTGATAACCACTTTAATTAGTCCTATTTGATAACATATTTGATAACCTCCCCTCCCCCACCAGAATCTAAAAGTCTTGAAAATATCATAGAAATTGAGGACCCTGTTTTTTGCTTTTTTTTTAGAAGACGCAAACATGGTACAAAATTCAAAAATATTTCAACATCCTCCACCAAAAATTCCTGGATCCGTCGCTGCATTAATTAAACCACTTTAATTAGTCATATTTGATAACCACTTTAATTAGTCATATTTGATAACATATTTGATAACCTCCCCTCCCCCACCAGAATCTAAAAGTCTTGAAAATATCATAGAAATTGAGGACCCTGTTTTTTGCTTTTTTTTTAGAAGACGCAAACATGGTACAAAATTCAAAAATATTTCAACATCCTCCACCAAAAATTCCTGGATCCGTCGCTGCATTAATTAAACCACTTTAATTAGTCATATTTGATAACCACTTTAATTAGTCATATTTGAAAACTGTTTAATACGATCACGCTGACAATAAAACACGCGTTTTAAATGAGTAACAAAAAGTTTTCTTTAAAATATAAATAGCTTGTGTTAATATAAAACAGTTTATACAGTTTAATAACATAAAATGCGTTTAAAATAAAACGAAGCAAATAAATGAAATTGTTTGAATTAATAAATTAAAAAATTATTGTCAATAAATCAAAAAACATCCTCAAAACTTAATAAAAAATTAGATTTTTAAAAACGACGTTTTTATAATTTATTGTTTCTTGAATAAAGGACTAATAAAAGTTTAAATATAATTAAGTTTTTCATTTAAATGGTTTTTAAGATGATATTTTTATGCAATTTCTTTATTTCAATTGTTTTCCAATAAAAAGTGAAACAAAAAAAATTTGGTTTAAATAAATTGAATTATACTTCATGTTTAAAATAAGGTTAAAGTAAAAAAACGTTAAAGTAAAAAAATTGCTGGTTTTTATTAGCATTTTTATACTGTTTGAAAAAAAAAAACTAATAAAAAAGAATTAACTAACAATATATTAATTAATAATTATTAGAATTAATAACAATAATAATTAATTCTTTTTTATAAGTTTATTTTTCAAACAGTATAAAAATGCTAATAAAAGTAAGCAATTTTTTTTCTCTAACGTTTTTAAGTCTTATTTTAAACATTTTGATAAACAAAGATTAAAACCAGGCTGTTTTGTTAGAATGAAGAAAAAACTCGAAACGTCTTTTCCCTTATCAACTTTTTCGCTTTAACCACTTTTTGAAAATTTTCCACGTTACCATTGAAACTCGAAAATTTTCCACGTTACCATTGAAACTCGATTGTTAGCCGTTAAAAATCACTAACGTGATTTTTAACGGCTAACAATCGAGTTTCAATGGTAAAAAAATAAAATCAAAATGAAGTTGTTTTTCAGTGATTTCGGCAATTGCTTTTTGTTAGCATGCATTTATTATTACAATTTAGTGAAAAAGAAAAAAAACTTACACATTTTTTTTTAATGCTCTTTCATATGAGATCATATGTTAGGAGCACTTAGGGATCCCTTTAAAGTATATTTTTAGTAAAATATTATCATAACATGTTATTTTTAAACTACATATGGGTAACAACTATCTAAGGTGTTCTAACAACTTATCTAAGATGTACAAACATTCCAAAATTAAAAATTTAAAAGCTTTAAGATATAACACAACCTAACATTAAAAACACATTTCCCATTTTTTTATTATCAGTCTTAGTCAGGAATGGTATTCAATTGCATGGTGTTCCTGACCATGCATATATATATTTTTAAACAACTTCACCATAACTTCATACATGTTTTGAGAGCACTTCAAAAATAGGCTTAAAAAAACACTTAAAAACTTTTATTTTTCTAAATATTTTTATACTCTGCAAAACATATTTTTATACTATTTAAAAAAAAAAAAGTAACAAAATACTTTTTATAACTGTTTACAATAAATTTTTTTATCTAATTTCAAAAAAAAAATTATATAATGATTTTTCCTTAAATTTTTTTTTAATCTTGGTGTATTTATACAAGTTTTATGCAGAATTTTTCATTTTTAACAACCACGTTGTCTTTAATGAACTTTTTTAAAAACTCATCAAAGTTTTTTTATTTTTTAGTTAAGGTTTTTTTTTTTTTTTTGAACTTTTTTTTTTCGAACTGAAAGAAGTTTAGCTTAGTCTTTTTAGCACATTTTTGAAATATTTTCAAAACATGTAAAAAGCATTGGTCAAAAACAAACACACAAATAATATATAATAATATATAACAAAAACATAATAAAAAATTATGTTTTTATTATTAAACATATTATAAAAACAAATAGCTTACAATAACAATTTTAAATAAAAACTTACCTATCTTATCTTCTTTTGTAAGATTAAGAACCTCTGTTTCTTTTTCATCGACTGAGAAGTTAAACTTTTCAGAAGAACTTTGAAACTCATTTTCAGGTATGTCTTTTATATTTTCTGTATAGGTTTTGCTTTCATAAGTATCTATTTGAACTATAAAAAATAATAAATTCATTAATATAATAGCATATAAAATAATTTAATATAACTATTTTTTATTAGTTTGAGTTAAAAAGAAAAAAATAAATATTAAATTGGAATGCTTTTTATAAAATATTAGGCTTATATATTATTTAATTTAAAAAATAATTTGCCCATGAAAGTACCCTTTAGTATTATTGTTTAACTTATATATAATTATTAAATTTTTTAAGTTATTATATTTCTTCTGAAGCTTAGTCACATAATTCGAAGATATGTGTAGATCTGTGGGTCTGTAACACAGATCCAGTAAATGCAGTTTTATAAATGGTATTAGACTTCTTTTATGACTGTCCAGTAAATCAACCCAAAATAGACTGCTCAGAAACCTTTTTTACTATCTCTAATGCCTTATTAGAGCCTCCCTCCAGTACCTTCTACTTCCTCTATTAATTTTCATTTCTGGCTCCACACTCAGCATAAAGTTTAAAAGATGCAATTCTCTGTTTTCTCAGCTCTTACATAAATTCTGTTAAAGCCATTTTCTTAAGATCTCTAGCATTTTCCAGTGCTGTCTGGTGGTTTCCATGATAATTAAACTTTACTAAAATAATAGGTGGCTGCAAAATCATTTGGGTAAATATTCTACCCAAATTTATATTCCAAATGGAATATACACCAGTATACTTATTGTGGAAGACTTCAATCACAGTGATATAAAATGGACCTATCTCGGCCATCAATTTATTTCTTAAAAATAATAAAAATATTATATTAATGTTTTCTCACCCAGTTCATTACTAAACTTTTCTCAACAACACTTTTGTATTTTTAAGCTATCTTGATCTTATTTAAAAATAAGTCAGCTGATAAGTGTTAAATGAGCTTTAATTTTAGATAAGTGTCAAAATAAAGCATATAGGATTATTCCTATATAACTTATGTTATAGGAATAAATTGTTTATGAGAAACTTATGTTATAGGAATAAATAAATCTATAAATACAGCTTATATGAACAAGTTATAGAAACACTTATAGGAATAAATTATTTACAAATAGGGCTTGCAGCTCTCTTTGTAAATAATTTATTCCTAAGCAAACCAAATTCATTCAGGCCTAGTAAATGCAATCCAAATAGCTAAATGTTGAGATTAAAACTGAGTCTAGAGAGATATAGGTTGTTTGCGAAATTTCTATGTTGTTATTCTAAATATATAAATAAAAGCTTGTACAATAAGCAAAATCAATTAGTAAAAACGACAAATGACAGACAGTTTATTAATAATAAATATGGATGCTTGACTGCTTCTTAAATGCAATTAGGATGAACATTTTTGTATGGTCTACAATGAACAGATGTTTTACCCATCTTTACATGAAATGCTGACTCATTTTTCTTTAAGGAAAGGGTTAGATTTTGTTTCTTGGCTGGGAATTTATCATTACACATTTATCCCTTTTCTTTCAGACTTCTCTAAATGGTCTGGTCTGACACAACCAGATTATTGTAAAAATATTACGCGATAAGTTAAAAATTTCTTTTTTGACAAATTTAAGAAACATTCTATAAGGTTTAGTATGAAAATAAGGTTAATTGAATGTTTTGTACATGTATATGTAATATTGGCAAATTTTACTATTGTAAAATTTCCCGGTAAAAGAGTCGGAGTCGCGATTATGTTTAGCGACTTCGACTCCACTAAAAATGCCGCAACTCCGCAACTCTGACTCCGACTCCACAGCCCTGGACACAACAAAACCAGCTTTGAGAATATGCTTAGTCATTTCTTTTTGAGGGTTTTTTCGTATCTCTATGCAAACATTCTAGATGATACTGTCAGCTCATAGTGTTGTTTTACATTGAGAAAGGGGTCTCCTTAGACCAAACTTCATGTAAGTTTAAAAACAATAAATCTGTAAAAAGACAAAATGTTTCTTATTTTTTGTAAAAAAGATTTAATTTGAATCTGAATATTAACTGAAATAATAACAGAAAACATTAAATTTATTGAAAACAAAATCTTAAAATTAACATATATATTTTTTTATTACCAGAAGGCACTAATTCTGCATCATCTTTAGTTTCTGTTTCATTAATATCCTCCTCTTCAGTTAATGTTACATGCTGGGGCACATGTTGTAGATTACTATCTTCACCAAAGAACTTGTTAACACTGTTTTCTGCAGATGTAAAAAGTATGATTTCAATGATAAATCTTTTATTATAATTATAAGCATTCATTTTTAGAAATAAAGAAACAAGCCTTGTCTAGTTAATAACAAACCTTGTCCAGTCAAAAAAAGAATTAAAGAAACTAACCTTGTCCAGTTAATTGGAAACTTGAAGCAATTGATTGATGTAAAGAAACTATAATACAAAACTTTAATGAATAGACAATAACAAAACTTTCCAAACAAAAACCAAAAATTACATAATGTACATACCATTAGGAACCACACTAAGTGGTGTATGTGGAACATTAGCAGAATCATCAGAACTTCTCACCTCATTAAAATCTTAAAAAGGAACATGATTAAATTAATTTAACTCAAGACAGAACAGAACTTCAGAAGATAGCAAAAACATAAACAAAGACTTAGATTATACTATTACATTTGGTTTTTTGGTTTGGCAACTGCAATCAATATGAAGTTCAAAAAGCGTGATGCAAAGAAAACATTTTTATTAAACAAGTAAATAGTAAAACACTTAATAAGGTCAGGTCAGGTTTTCCTGCTACTGGTAACATGTAACCCAGTACAACCTGCTCCATGTCCTGCTGCCTTGTAGGATACGCTTTTCTAGGCAAAGGCTAGGAGAAGTTAACTCCGAATTAAAACACCCCCTGCCTTGGGGCTCTTGGTTGAGTAAAGGCTAGAGATGGTGTCTCGATAAAAATACTCATCTTGGGCAGATGTTACATGCATCCAGCTGCTGTCTTGTAGAAGGCCTCCTAGGCAAAGACTTAAAGGGTAAACAGATTCTATCTGTTGACCAGCCTCGCACCCCTTCCTCATCTATTAGGCTGGCGCAGATGTATTTTTAATACATTGTTTCCAGTTTAGGATGTTGAACGCTGGATCTTCTTGATTCAATGCGTGGGTATTGCTTGTGTCTCTATTTTTATGACTGGGCAACTCATTCTATTATCTCCTTATGAGGGTACAGCTCTAAAACTCAGTTTTATGGTTCTGAGGCCGGCTGGTAGTCAGGTTTCCCGAACTCTGTGGTAGCTCTCAGAGAGGCTGATTCCATCAACAGCCCAAAAATATCAGAGTATTAACAGTGCCATGTTGCACATGGATGGTGTCCCTGTTTGTACTTTTGGTGTGCATTGCAGAGGCCACATTTGGAGCCCTTTGTTAGGGCTTAGGGTTTATTAATAGTAATGAGGCTATTGCTTAGTTGTTAAATAGTGTACTGAGTACTATCTATACTTGAGTCAAGTTCTTTATAAATATAAAACGACTAAAGTACCTAAAACTAAAAAACACAAAAAACCATCGTCATCACCAAGTTCTCTAAACCTATCATTTACTAATATTCGTGGTCTTCGAAGTAACTTTTCTTCTGTTGAGTCTTATCTCTTGCAAAGTTCACCAGACCTACTTGCTCTTTGTGAGACTAATTTGAGTTCGGCTGTCCCATCTTGTGATCTTAGTGTTGATGGTTATCTTCCTTTAATTCGTAAAGACTCCAATAATCACATGCTTGGCCTGGGCATCTACATTCGTAAGAACTCACCCATTTGTCGTGAAACTAGGTTTGAATCTACAGACTATTCATTTATGTGCTTTCGTTTAGCACAACTTCACTCTATCGCCTTTCTCTTTGCTCTCCTTCATCCCAAGATTGCACTATTCTTGATGTTATTTCTGATCAAATTGACCAAGCCCTCTCTCTTTATCCATCGGCTAATATCGTCGTTGTTGGTGACTTTAATGCGCATCACACCGATTGGCTTGGCTCTAGTGTCAGTGACTCTGCTGGCGTTAAGGCCCTCAACTTTTGCCTTTCCCAATCTCTAACTCAAATAGTCAACTTTCCAACTCGTTTTCCAGACAACCCTAATCATTTACCTTCTCTACTCGACTTATGTCTTGTTTTGGATCCTAGTCAGTGCTCAATTTCTCCACATTCACCCTTAGGTACTTCTGATCACGGTTTGATCTCTCTAAAACTATTATCAAATTCTTCTACTTCATCAGAATCCCCCTATCATCGTACCACATACAACTACCTTAAAGCTGACTGGGACTCTTTCCGTGATTTTCTTCGTGATGGCCCTTGGGTAGAAATCTTTCGTCTTCCTGCTGACAAATGTGCTTCTTACATAACTTTGTGGATTCAGGCTGGCATGGAATCTTTTATTCCCTCTCGACGATTCCAGGTCAAGCCTCACTCTTCTCCTTGGTTTTCCTCATATTGCGCTGCAGCAATTTCTAATCGAAACCGTTACTTCCATATCTATCAGCAAAACAATTCTCCAGAAAACAGACATCTGTTCACTATCGCCAGACACCATTGTAAAAAGGTTTTGTCTGACGCCAAAGCTCGCTATTCCCAGGTCATTAAATCTCGTATCTCATCACAAAAATTAGGCTCTCAAGACTTCTGGAGAATCTTTAACAGTATCAATAATAAGGGCAAATCTGTTATTCCTTCTCTCTTGTATGGTTCAGACTTTGTCACCTCACCTAAAGACAAAGCTGAATTGTTTGCTAAGAACTTTTCATCAATATCATCTCTTGATTCTACTAGTTGCGTTCTACCTGACATAGCCGTCAAACAGGTTGATCCCTTGCTTGACATTCGCATCACTTCAGCTTCTGTATCTAAAGTAATTTCCTGCTTAGACTCTTCAACAGCTTGTGGTCCTGACAACATTCCTGTTGTAGTCTTGCAGAGGTGTTCTCCGGAGCTTTCATCCATACTTTCTAAATTAATTAACAAGTGCTTATCAGAGTCTTGTTTTCCATCATGCTGGAAAGCAGCATCTGTTATCCCTATTTTCAAAAATTCCGGAGAGCGATCTGATTCATCTAACTACCGTCCCATTAGTCTTCTTCCTGTCATAAGCAAGGTTTTTGAATCTTTAATCAACAAACACTTAATCTCTCATCTTGAATCAAATAACTTACTTTCTGATCATCAATATGGATTTCGGTCTTCTCGTTCTACAGCTGATGTGCTAACAGTAATAACCGATAGGTTTTACCGTGCATTAGATAGAGGTGGAGAGGTTAAGGCTATCACACTTGACATTTCTAAAGCTTTTGATAAAGTTTGGCATGCTGGTCTTCTCCATAAGCTTTCTTCTTATGGTGTAGCTGGTAACGTCTTTAAGATTATTGAGTCCTTTCTTTCCAATCGTAGTATAACTTCAGGGGTTCCTCAAGGTTCAATCCTTGGCCCTATACTCTTTTTAATTTACATTAACGATCTTCCAGATATTCTCACATCTAAGGTGGCATTATTCGCTGACGACACTATCATTTACTCTTGTCATGATAAGAAGCCTACACTCTCTGATTGCTTGGAGGGGGTATCTGAGCTTGAAAAGGATCTCACTTCTGCTACAGCTTGGGGCTCACAGTGGCTGGTGAACTTTAATTCAGATAAAACTCAAATTAATTCGGCCAATCGTTATCGTAATAATTTAGATCTTCCTATATTTATGAATGGTAATGTACTAGATGAGTCATCTACCATTCATCTTCTAGGATTAACTCTTACTTCTGATCTTTCTTTTAAACCGTATATCAAATCCATTGCAAAATTAGCATCTGCTAAGGTTGCATCTCTTTATTGAGCTCGACACTTTCTTACTCCAGATTCTATTCTCTATCTTTATAAATCTCAAATCCGTCCCTGTATGGAATACTGTTGCCACATCTGGGGCGGATCTTCTAATGATGCTCTTTCTCTTTTTGACAAGGTGCAAAAACAAATTGTAAACATAGTTGGACCTGCTCTGGCAGCCAATCTCCAACCTTTGTCACATCGTCGTAATGTTGCTTCTCTTTCTCTTTTTTACAAATACTATAATGGGCACTGCTCTAAAGAGCTAGCGTCCCTTGTGCCATCTACTAAAATTCATTCTCGTGTTACTCGCCATTTAATTAAGTCTCATCCTTTTTCTGTGACTGTTCCTAAGTGCTTCAAAAACTCTTATTCTTCTAGTTTTTTTCCTCGAACATCAGTTCTTTGGAATTCGCTTCCTTCATCTTGCTTTCCTGATTCATATAATTTGCAATCTTTTAAGTCATCAGTCAATCGTTATCTTGCTCTACAGATTTAGTCTTTTCTCTTCCAGTAACTTCCAACTCCTATAGTGGTTGCTTGCAGCCTTGTTGGAAGTGAAGATGTTTAAAAAAAAAAAAAAAAAAAAAAAATGTATCAGAAAAAAAATTTGATTGAGCAACAAACTCAAAAATTTGATTGAGCAACAAACAAACAAGTGATTATTTTTTTAAATCTTTTCTTTAAAATAATATTAACTAATCTGAAAAAGTGGTCTCATCAGCTTTTAAAAAAAATAGTAACATGCAGCTAATTTACAGCAGACAAGTATACCTGAATCCGTTAACCACTTATTAAATAGTGAAGAGCATATTAAAGAGGGTTCTAAAGAATACTTCGATAAGATATGTGAAGATATAAAGCAAATAAATATAGTTTTTTATGCAAAATCATTAAAAAAAAACTATTTTATTTTCTGTAATATATACTTTCTTTTGCAACAACTTTTTTTTTACTATCATAAAAAGAAAGAAAAATGATTGTAATTTCTACTAAAATTAAAGTTTCTTCAATAATTGTATAAAAATTTCTACAAATCACATGTTTCTAAAATGTTTTGAAAATTAAAGAAAATTTGCACTAGAATTAATCTTAATATATAATACAGTATTTAAATGCAGCTGCTATTTGGTGCATGTTTTTACAAGGAGTGTAAACAAATGAGAGAAAAAGTAGGAGTAAACAAATGCAAACAGTGAAAAAGTATTGCTACAGAAAACTTAAATATGGAAAACCTGCAGCCTTATGTTTTATTTGCCCTGTTTTTTTTTAAAAAAAAAATACTTTTCACCTCCCCAAGGCCAAGAGAGCTACTTCAGTCATTTTATTATGGTTACACCCTCTATCAACTCTTTAACTCTGAAATACAAACCTCAACGATTAAGTCTGCTGCCCCTAAAAACAAGTTTAGCAAGGTATAACCAAGGACACGAGTGTTTAATACAAATACTTATTTGTATTAAACTAATTTTATATTAAAAGTAATATTTTTTGTGTTATTTCCGATGAACTTTGTTGAGTAGTTTTATAAATCGATGACTGTTTTTTTTTTTAATCTGTACTTTGGACTGGATTTGTCTGTACTTTTAAATTAAAGAACTTGCTAAATTTATTATTACATTATTTTATTATTATAGACTAGTATATTATTTTTGAAGAAACAATTGTTTAGATAACAATACTATAGAAGGACATTCTAAAAATGTATTATTGTTTTAATAAAACTAATAATATTTGTTTAAACTAATGTTTATAGCTTTTATCTAGAAAAAGAAAAACTAAAAATAGTTTAACAACAAAACCTACCAGGGTGAGGAACTGAAGAACCTTGCGAAGGATAACGAACAATAGAGCTATAAACAAAATATAACACAATGTTAGAATAAAATAATTAAGAATAAAAATGATAGCAAAAAATTAATATTAAGATGTACCCAATAGCTTCAGCATATTCAATTCGTTTAGGCAAAAATAAAGTTGGTGTACTGGGAACCATAGAATCATCTGTTTCTTCATAAAAACTATTTCCAGGTCCCTGAAATAATTACTCTGCAATCATAATCAATAAATGAAATTGTTAAGAAATATATATATAAATGTTTTAATAAAAAACATATCAATAACCCAATCAAATATATAAAATAAGACGTATTAGCAAGTCGACATATTAAACCAATAACCCAATCAAACATATAAAACAATGAAGTTACACACTGAAATAAATGAAAACGAAGGCATTTGAGAGCTTTCACGGACATATTGTCTAAAAAAAGACAACTAATTATAAATAATAATGAAAGTTATCACATCGTATTACTTATTTTTTAAATAATGATTTTATTTTACTAATTTGGTTAACTATTATAACTAACAATAATAGTATTATATAACAGTATAATTTTTTTTTAAAAAAACAATAGATTTTTTTTTCAAAATAACAATATAATTTTTTTTCAAAACACAATGGAACTTTTATTTTAAAAAAACAATAACTTTTTTTCAGAACATCTTTTTTGTCAGAATATCTTTTCTTTTTTTATACAAAAGGTGAAATAAAAACTTCACGCATAAAAAAACATAAAATATAACAATACCTTTGACGCAGAATTTCTTGTAAAGATGACTGTAACTGAGGTTCTATCTGAAGTTGAGTGTTCTTTAAAATTTAAAGAGAAAAAAAAAGCATTTTTTTTTTTACATTATTAAACAAAGTTTATGAGATGAGGCAATATCTAATTATGCAAATAATAAGACTGTAATTAACAAGTCATATACTGAGATATTAAGGTAGTGGTACTCATACTCCTTCTCCTTCTCCTTCTCCTACTACTACTACTACTACTACTACTACTACTACTACTACTACTACTACTACTACTACTACTACTACTACTACTACTACTACTACTACTACTACTACTACTACTACTACTACTACTACTACTACTAATTAATGCTTTTAAATTTTGTACATAATTCCACTTCATTTGAGTAACAAATTTTTTTTCAAAAACAATTAATGTTTTTAAAATTTTTACATAACTTCACTTTATTTA